TATTATATATTTCTATTCATATATACACAAATCTAAGTATCACGATTAAGAAAAAAGTAAACACTTTAAATCCGTTATTGACGTTATAATCAAGTCTTAAATAAGTATGATAGTACGTTTTCACGACATTCATTTACATATTACAGCTAATATAGACCGCCTTACATGTTTAATATTCAATCATAGTCAGCGGGTAAACAAGCGAATGCACAGGAACACTGGGCAATTTGTCCGCCGGCGGAAGCACATCTCTGGCATCTCCTGTAGCTCGCAGCGCGTCCCAGACTACCACTGTTGATCACATGTAGTAGATACACGCACGGCATAATTCGCTCTTTAATATACTTCTTCGAGACTAAGTATATTCACGACATTACTTCATTTGAATATTCCTAAGCTTTTCTCTACACTTTAACTCTAAGTAAATGTCAAGCCTATCTCCTTACTTTAGATTTAGATTAGAAAGCGAGGTATAAACTTAGTTATGAGCAGTCTGTTAGTTAGCACCTACGAGACTTCACCTGAACCAAAGTACAAGAAATGGAAATATGCATAGCGTTATCGTTTTGTTTACGGGACAAAAATGGTCATTGATATATTTCACCTGATGTGAAATAAATACCGACACGTAGGCAACCGCGCGGCAGTTACACCCACAGTTTCGCTCAGAATTTATGTCGAAACCGACATTCACTGCAGAGAACATTCACAGCAAATAACCTAGGCGTTAAAACAACTAGCACAGACAACTAGCGCACTTAACAAACAGACGTATCCGTATCAGATATAGCGTATCGAGACGACAGGACATTACTTCTGCGCTATCGATAAAGCTCAACGGTGAGCGAAATAGCTTTGCCACGCAGTGAACATAAATAATTGTCATAAAACAGATAGGACCTGACGGATGGGCAGTGCGCCCGGAACGTCGACTAACGAGGAAACGTTTGTGACGAGCAAAAAGTAAGCAACTCCCTGCAAAGCTGCAACTACGCACCCACTCATAATTTCTACATACAATAAGAACCAACTTTAGGTATAAATCGATGATGCATGATGACTCGTAAACAACGTTCGGCTGGTTGCTGCCACGCACTACTTATGTGTTTACATACAAAACGTAACTCAAGATTACATCTGAAATGATTGTTAGAATACCAAGAGTATGAACTTATAATTTAAAGGATACAAATACGACAGGTGTTTAGTTAAGCTTAGAGCCGCTCTTGTAACTTTGCCGACAACACCAACAACATCATTCAAAAATTTAGATTTAGAAATAAAGTGAATACAAGCAATACATTTAATTACATCATTTATCTACAAAACGCTGCGAATGAACACCTTTACTGCTTCATTTTAAGACTTAAGAGGGCCAATAAACACACAAAACACATTTCAAAATTATTTAAAAATAGAATAGATTGCAAAACATTATCATTTTGAAAATTTAACAAAAAACAATAAAAGCTCAGATATCAAAGCAGTACAATGTATTTAGTAATGACTATTTGCGATAAGATTGATATGGTTAAAAACTGTCAGTAGAAATTTTAAATACAGTTCATCTGATTGCGTAGTGATATGTGGTATAAATATGCAATCGGTTATTTATTCAAATAGAGTGACGAAATTAATGCAGAGAGCTTGTCGGAGCGTGATCACATGGCCAAGCGACACATGGGCACAACAGTCCCCGGGCGTGTGTCACATACGCCGCGAGAGAAAGCGTGCTTAATCAGATAACTCAGATTGTCAACCGAGCTCCTGAAATCGGGTCGAATGTCGATACACTCGATTAATTAATTGACGGTCCAAAAAGTTGGAAATAACTGGTCCGCAAAGCCAAAACCGTAGACACTCTTGTGAAACTGGTGCAGTGTTTAAATATAAATAAAACGGTAATACTACATAATTATTTTAATTGAGATATAACTTGCTCACAATTATTTTTTTCTTAACTAACACTTGACATCTACAACTGTACGTGTAGTTGTCTCAACGCCTGTGATATTCAAAATTAATATTTTTACTGATTTTTCACTTGCCTTCAATGGTTTTCACAATAAACGACTTGTCACATTTAATCTTCTACATAAGATGAGGAGAACATAACTGGTAATTGTTTCAAAAGACAAATAAGTATTTCGGTCTTCGAAGAAGCTTTTGGAAAGGTATTATTAATGTAATACATTTCAACCAAAATACTTGACTCGATACAATTAGTCATAGAGTGATTCTAATACAGTAGTAAAAAACATAATTTACTCTTGTCATTGTGCCTTGTAGAAAGAGCTTAAAATTCGTATTTTAATTTATGAACCATTGTAAATGTCTTTGTTCTATTTCATATCTAACACGATTAAAGTGTTATAAGTATAATAATAAAATATTTAAGTTGATGTTACGGGAACGCATAATTCTGTCATATCGGATTAAAAATCCAATTAACACGCGGGACAGGCGCGCGACGCTCTCCGCCCACGCATGCGCCCGCGGCTGATCTACAACACGTAAAATAGTAAATGTGATTTCCGCTAGATCCCTCTCCTAACTATTCAAATATATTCGATTTTTAATCATTATAAACTTATTTTTCATTGATATTAAATATCTTATTAATTCATTAGCAGTAGCTATTGAAACTTGTATTTATATGAATAGCTTAACAAAAGCAGGTTTTAAGGAAAGATAATCAAAATAGGACCTCATGTTTAAATGTTGAATATTTATTGGTCAGACGTTTGTAAAATTAGTTATCATAATAATTAATAATGACAAATGTATAATTTATATTGTATTGACTATGTTCTAATATTCCAGATAAGTATTTTGCAAGCTAATATTCTTCAGAATTGATAGATTTTGGCGATATCTCTCGGTTTTCAGCTTTGAATGTCGTGGACAAGTCAAATAAAAAAAAAAATACGTGTTTTTAGCTTAGCTTAGCTTAGCTAGTATTTCCAAAGCCAATCTAAAGTATCCGTTAGCGATAAAAGGAAAGATTTTTTTCTGCATCTACATAAAGAATTTATAACTTAAGAAATATTATATGAATACCTATACACAACCTATAGGACACCTAAATATACAATACACATATTTACAAAATAACCTTAACCTCCTTCAATAGTTATCCACTTTGATTAAAAATACTTATTGCCTTAGTGTAATCGTTAGATACAAGTATTTTATGTAAATATAATGCATGTTATTTACGCAAATGTACAGGCATAAAATGTACTGTGAAGACTTCTAAACACACATACAAATTCTGCTTAAATGAACCGAATTAACATACAAATAGTGATTAAATTAATACAAAGCAATTATTACTCCACCCTACTATAATTATTTTGCAACGAGCTCAGAACTTGTATATAATGTCAAATTAAAGTCTTTAATGAAATCAAAGTAAGGCCTGTCTCTGATAAATTGCGCGGTAAGTCAAACAATTATGATTGCCAGTTATTACAATGTATCTTTGTCATGCAACAATAGCGAACATTGCTCACTACCAATTGTAACCAGAAAATAGCCACTAAATTACGTAAACCTTACCATTTGGTCTTTAAATTAGCCATCAAGTGTTTATGAATCATTAGTTCGAATACGATAAACAAAAGTCGGCTGTTAAGTCACCTATTATTTAACAAATAAACAGTAAATATTATGAACAATAAAAATAAATGTTAGACCGTTTCATTATACACCTCTAACAAAGGTTTTTCAGGTTATTCGAATTATTTAACTTCACGTACAAAGTTCATAGTGAATTCGAGTTTATACAGTTAGACGTTATGTATTTTATCAAAATGCCTATGAACGAAAAGAATTCTAATAAAGTAGTAAATGTTTATGTTTATTTATTATAAGCGATGAGACGGTAAAGTAGAGGCGGTGTTAACCGTTACAATTTAATACATGGGCTATCTATTAGCATGCACAGTTCCGTTGGGTTTACGCGTCGCGCGCCGATCTCCGGAGAAAGCCCGTGTCCCGCTTATACATCGGTAGAACTATTCACCGACACAGATTACTCGTAAATTCATAGATTTACCGTAAAATAGGTTTTTTATAACTCCCGGCTAACACTGGAGTCGAGAGCCCTTGCTGTATTTAATTGCAATACCAGATATAATTGTTGCATGCGGACGCCGAATACTTCATCTTATTTAGCTTATCTACTCTATGCATATTCATGAATTGATAATAACATCTAAGCTATATAAGTTAGAGACAGTTTTAAAGACACTACTTAAAGAGTTGCAATTAACTGAGAGGAAGAGTACGCCGATGTTAAATATTTTCCACAGAATTGAAAGTTACATACGTCGTAATAAAGAGTCAGCCAAACTTAACTGTTTAATTAATTTGACTAAGGGGCATGCTTGTGCGATTGAAGTGGTTCAAATTTAAAGACAATGGTGTAAGCAGGAAGGAAGGAGTGCGTGCGGTAAGGCATCATGGCTCGCGAGTCTCGTCGCATCGATCCATCAATCTCAGGCGATGCTTTCTCATCGTTAGCCCTATAAGGCACGGTCGGTACCACGCCTTGCAGTGGCTACTTCTTTTCCACTTCATTTTCTAACACGTCAATAGAAATCGTCCTAACAGCATATTTAACTTTTTCTTCTTAACGGAAACGGTTGAAAGGTTTCACGTTACTTTTTAAGCGCGTTTAAATGTGTATGAAATTAAGATGCAAACCAAAAGGACCTAATCGCACTCGTTTAATGTAACAACTGAGAAATGGAGACCGTTAACCGCGTTTTGCGTATTCGCAAATGCTCACGGCACTTCGTCTGTACTTTTGTCATTAAAAGTTAGTAATAAATAATGTGCAGGCATAGCTGTTGGATGTCAGGTAATTCTAATGGCCACACTCGAGTTAATTTATTTACAATCTTAGCAGCGCCGGATATGCAGATATAAATACTCATACTACTAACACGATTCTCAGAATGTTTTCATTAATTTTAAATAAATCTTTGTTTCAGAGTGTCGTAATGTTAATGTTTAGAGAAGAAAAATCTCCCGAGGATGAAATCAAAGCATGGCAGTTTTGGCACGGTAGACAACACTCTGTCAAGCAGAGGATACTAGACGCAGGTGAGTCAAATTAATACACTCCATACTTACTTTTTAACGTTTACGATTAACGCCAATATTACATGGAGATAATGTTTATAAACAAAGACTTCTCGGTTAATGCTAAAAGTATAGTACCTAAAGCATGAGTTTAAAACACGATTGCTGAACAAAAACAATCGTGCTCGAGGCGACACAGAAACATGTTGGAGACGTTGCGTGCGGCGCGCGGTGAAGGCGGCTGGCGGTGGCGCGGCGCCCGCGCGGCACGCATCTCCTAATTACCGTGCTGCGGGCAGATAGTCGCAGTGGCGCACCGCGCTCTCCTCCCGACCCTCGCCTCTAAGTACGACACACCACCATTATATCTCGTTAGGGCATTTGCATAAATAACACGCAAGACGGCCCCGGCCCACACCGAACGGCAAACCTATCAATCGCTATGACTAAAAATAAACACCTCCGGCGCCTCCATCACATAGCCCATATCAACTGCACCCTATACTATGAGGTTTATATTTTGATACTTGTAATGAAGTATTTCGACATTAATCAGATTAAAGATATAAAACTAAATGTGGGTAGTTTTCCCGACGCGCAATCAAATGTAACTATGTAATAAAGATATCTGTCACTATGAGTTGTACGAGAATGAGTAACAGGAAATCGTTAAAATTCGTGAGAAATCTCTTGCCTTGTCAAGTTAATCCACCTGCTTACACACACATATATATATATGTATATAAATATATATATATAAATATATATATAGGCCGCTAGTCCATTGCCTGCCTTGCTTCACAGTCAGCACAGTCCCAAAGTTAGCTAAAGCCTAAACTAAAAACCTAAAACCTATCTTCCATGGTCATGAACTCGATTTTGTCAAGTTACGCTGTATCTAACTACTTAGGCAGTACCCAAATTACATAAGTGAATGATCAGTTTCCGTTTTAATTAATAATACGGCTAGAATTTATTGGAATCGTTAGCAGCAATTTAATAACTTAAAGTTATTAGTTATGATGTGACGTAATGAACGGACGCATATTTATTCAACGGTTGAGCCGAAGTAAACAGCGCTGATATATGATACTTTATACATTCTAACATTACTTTAGTGAAGTCTGTAGCATTTGTGATGAGTGACGCCGCGGCTACAACCACTGTATATAAATTAAATCTCAAGGAAAATAAAAACATGGAAGCCATTAATTCGCGCGCTCGGGCCAAGTTTAATGTCAAGGTTTTTTAGCTTATCACGATGTTAGTTAAGTTTTATTTTTTCATTTGTTAACGTTATAACATAGAATGAATTAATGTCTAAAGACAAAACTATTTTGTACATTATTTCTCACATGACCACATTCTTGATGCGTTTGTTTTTAGTTTTATTATATTCGTAAGCAATTTGTGTCTCGCATTACTAAGTCTTTTTCTTAGACAACAAGTAAATATACCTGTTTTAAATATAGGTCTAGTTTATTGTAGTGATAAACTTTTGTGATAGATTTATAAATTCACTATCATTTCGCGGCTCCGCCCGCGTGTATATCGGTTATTGATTTCCTATACAAACTTCTATCCCCTTTTCACCCTCTTAAAGGGTGATTTCTGGGTGATCCTATGTCCTTTCGCAGGACTCAAACTAACTCTATACCAAATTTCATTAAGCAGTTTATGCGTGAAGAGGCAACAGAAAGACAGACAGGCACACCTTCGCATTTATAATATTGCTATGGATTGCTAGTGGAGTTTATCAGTTGAACAACTTTTTTTTATAGGTAAACCAAGTAGACCCTATGATAAATTACACTAGACTTAAGATAATTTAGACTTTTGGGTAATTAATTAATTATCCCAATGGAGTTTCGATAGTGAAGCGAATAGATAATGCACCGTGAATATATGCAACGAACTTGGGAGTAGCGTCAAGGGCGACACCGGACACCTGTGCGCAGGCGTGTGAAAGCGCGGCGGGGTCGGCGTGTTGGGGGGTGGGCGAGGCGGGGTCGCAACGCACTGCGCGTCCGCACAATGCCTTCTCCGATTACCCACACGTCTTCTTGTATCGCGTGTCCACGTCCATTGCAGCGCAGCTTCTTTACTTCCACGTTTATTTCATTTGACAGTTTTCTTTTGAACCATGCTTCACTGCTTTAGAGCAATATGCTCTAAAGTAAGTCTTTGTTTTGACGATATTATGGAATATTAATTTGTAATTTTATACATCGATGGTTCCAAGTCGCAGCTTTTTTTACCTGCCTTATAACTTTTAGTTAAGTGTCTTTAATTCTTTGAGAATTGATAATACAAATTATGACATTGGTATTTACTTGTGTCGATTAAGAAAATTAAACATTCAAAATCGAAAGTAATTCATAAAGAAACGGCGTATTTTAAGTTTATTTCGCATGTATCGTCTTTAGGTTATTAATGTTTAAGAAATAAAAATAAAATAAAAGAAAGAAATACATCCTTAGAAACTCTGTCCAACGCTGTGGGACAGTAGGGTTTACTAACACAGAACAGAATGGTGTGTAGACCCATAAATTTGTTAGAGGCTCTTAAAACAATAAGGTTGGGGAGGGTGGCACGACGGGGTCTGCGTTCTCTACGCCTAATGCGGCTGCTCATAAACACTTCAGTAACGACGCCTTCGCCCGCGCAGATCAGCCGCGAGACACTGATAGCTATCCACCCACACGATCCGACAAACACAGCACCAATCCCAGTGACAAACAAACACCTCTATATTCTATGTGGTTGCCAGAATTTATCAATAGTTTTATTTAACTCACTCACTAATAATACGTAAACTGCGTTACGAATTCAATTTAAACCTGTACCATAAATATCGAAACTAACCTACGGGCCCAATAATTTATCAAGCAGGCGTTAAATAACGGTTTTAGAAATACCATAAAGTAACTACTACGAAAATACGTCTCTTAATTATTAATAATAATAATTTTACACATCTCACACTGACTGCACAGATGGCGTAGTGGTTTAAGCGGTCGCCACGCCGCTTACTACTACAATGAGTGCTGTAGGTCCGATCCCTACATCTGACGACACTTTGTGTGATCCACAAATTGTTGTTCTAAATCTGGGTGTTCTTTGTGTCCGTTTCATATATGTTTGTAAAGTCCCCTGCGACACAGGATATATTCCTAATGCGGGAGTTGTGTACATAAATAAAAAACAAAAGAAACACACACGGCAGTCTGGTCCTAAACTAGGCAGAGCCTGTATTATTGAACCAATCTGCTGATAAATATACTTATATATTTCTAAATATATAAATAGTATAGATAAATTACACCCAGACACAGAACAAAATTAAATGATCGTACTCATCACACAATAAATAAAAATAAATAAATTGTAATCACATAACACAATTGTTATCTACTAACGTAAAATTCTTGGTACCTAGACTATGAAATAATCAATTTAAATACGTAAGTGCATTTATTTATAACCCGACTACTGCAAGAAACAGCGAACAACTTGAAATCATATGCATAATTATTGTTTTACTAGCTGTGTAAACATACAAACTCAATAGATACAGATTTACATAGAAATGAGCGTACAACACACAAACTCTTATACATGAAAGAAGGGGACTTACACGGAGCTTAACTGAGCCGCTTGCAATTAGTACGGAATGCAAATGGGCTAATTACTGACCATAAACCTTAATCTAGGAAGGGCAGAAATGGAAACATTGCAGTCGTCAATAAATTGATCCTATCATGTGATTATTCACGCCCAGCAAATAAATTTCCGTCCCCGATGACGTATTGTGCGTTGATATCTTAATCGAAATCTGCGCCGCCATTACTGCACAGTTACCAGAAAGACAAGATTAATGACAATCTGTTGTTTGGTTACAGACACGAAAAACAGCATCGGTCTGGCAGGCTGCATCGAGGAAGTGGCACATAACGCCATCGCCGTCTACTGGAATCCACTTGAGAGCGCCGCCAAGGTACTTTAATTTTTATTTACTAACCTAACTTCGAAACATCATAGTGAAAAAAAAAACCATCCGAAAAAGAAAAGTTTACACTATTTTAATTTAACCAATTAAAAAATGAAAAAAACATTGTAATAAATACACGGTAATGGGCTAATATGTCTTCCTGTCAGTGTGACTACTGGACGAATGACGTTGCAGCTCAGCGATGCAAAAATATGTACATATATTTAAAGTGCACATACATACATTTCTGTAAAAGTAACGTGCCCTTTATGTACCAAATTAAAAGGCAGATCATGATTTTATTTTATTAAAGAGCAATTAAATAGAGTCCCGGAACCTTATTTGGTGGAATGGCTCCGAATACAGCAGATGAAACAAAAAATTAAAAATGTAAGTCCGTTGCGACCTGCGCACGGCGACTATGCGTCCAACACGAAGACTCATTAGGTAGGTAGGTAATATTATTGAATAATAAACAACACTCTTTAATTGCTTACATAAAATTATACTCTATCTACTTCTAGCGGCAGAAAAACGTATACCTACTTCATTGATAATAATGTTATGTACATGGCCTTTTAAATATTCATAAAACAATTAAAAGTCCGCGTGAAATAGCCTCAATTCTATGACAGTATGGTAATGCCAGTCAAGGGAGCAATTACCATTTAATGACTTCTGCATCGAATCACAATTTCGATTATGATCATAAAATTGATATCTAAAAATTAACCTACACTATATTAATACCGTTTAGAATGAAATCGAAGATAGTTGTTTTTTGGTAGATTTATTTGATTGCTATAAATTACTTGCATCTGACTTGCGGCTACTGGTCAGTTATCAACATGAGTAATTATTTATTGTTGGTTAGTGAAACCATAGCGGATGCGAGTTGTTTGCGACACTTAATATGCGTATGGACAGCGATCGCCGACGGTCTTAGCGGCGCGGCAAGTAAAAACGCGAGAGAGTCATTTGCATAGACCGCGGTAATGAGCGGCCGTTCAGAAGCCGGCACCGCCTCCGTCGGCGGACTCTTGCCGAGCTAAAAGCGCCCGTGTTATCCTATATACATTCAACAGTGTATACACAGCAACACACAATACTTAAACGGTCTTATTCGTGTTTGGTACATAATTTTATTTTCACTGTGGCGTGTTTGGCTTCAATACATTTTGTAATTTACATTTTTTTTACAGATAAACATCGCTGTTCAATGCCTTAGTACAGACTTCAGCAGTCAAAAAGGAGTGAAGGTTAGTACTTAAAACCTCCGATTAAAATTACCTGCTTCATAATAACATTAAAATTAATTTATAATAATTACTATGCTATATCGTCAGTATTTAAACTTACGTTACTAAAGCCTTATTAAGGAAAAGCATCATATACTTATGTGTGTACTTTTTACTCTGTTATATTTATCGTGATTAATTAATATTAACATGTAATTATTTTGTATTGCGAAATGGTAATTAAGCTCACTTCATTGGATATGAGTAAATGAATGTTACGATACGTTGACGTCAAGACGGAGGTCGGTAACCGCGTTGTCGCCGGAGCCGCATCGATAACCATGGAAGCGATGCATGGGCATGGGCGGCGCACTCGCCGCAAGCGATAGCCGCTCGCGGTGCAACTCACTGATGTGTTTGCTATTGCAACTTTGACCACTATTTAGGCTATTTTGTTTTGTACGCGTTGAAAAGGGTAGTAGGTACAGTCCGATAATGATATCATCAGTTAGTGCTAATTAGGCGTAAGTGAGTAATGACAAAGTACGAGCGGCCCGCTGGCAGGCGACGCGGGCGCCCCGGCAGATATGAAACCAGTCCGCTATCAGCCTCTCAATTACCTATCCAATGCGGAGTGACGCCGCCGTAACAGCGACCTCGAACGAACGCAATTAAGACGTTTTAACGCGATTCGATTCAGACACGTGCATATTTTTTCCTTATTCGTAAATTTATCGCAATTATCCCTTATGAACGTTTATTAAAACTGTTTTTTTTTGTTATCATTCTAAGATAAGTGTAGACTTCAAGCGTGAAATTGCTTGACTCAAAAATATAGTCGATTTGGACATGTGTGGGATCTCACGGATACTAAAATAACGTGAGAGCTATGCCTTCAAATAATTGAGCAATTAGACCTATCCTTTTTTCCATCTGACCCATTCGCCTAAAAATTAAATGTAATAATTTCGCCTAAAAATATTCGAAAGTCTTTTCGTGCATCTAAACTTAATTGTATTGTTTATTGGTTGCAGGGATTACCACTACACATACAGATTGACACGTTTGAAGACCCGAGAGACACGCAGGTCTATCACAGAGGTTACTGTCAGATTAAGGTGTTCTGTGATAAGGTAAGACACATGATTTTCAAATGACTAATATTTTTAATCCATCTTAAGACGAATTTTTCAACCTAACGTCCTTTTTTTTGTATTTCAGGGAGCTGAAAGAAAAACAAGAGATGAAGAAAGAAGAGCGGCGAAGAGAAAAATGTCAGCCACAAATAGAAAGAAGCTTGACGAAATCTATCATCCTGTAACAGAGCGCAGCGAGTTTTACACGATGGCAGACCTGGCGAAACCTCCCGTTCTATTTAGTCCTGCGGAAGACATTGACAAGCTTGCTGGAATGGACATACAGGGCTTCTATGGACACGACGAATCAGCACTCGCAGAAGCGCATCTTAAAGGCGCATCACCATTCCTATTGCATGCGGCGAAGCCTCAAGCACCAGCACTCAAATTTCACAACCACTTCCCACCAGATGCACCCGGGTAAATACATAATAATTTACTTAGTGCGATATTCAGAACAAGCTATATATGTAGATAAACTTCTATTTCTATCTCTGAGGCAGTTCGTAATGAATTCTCGATTACATTATCTGATTATAGGCTAATGAAATGAACATTAAAATTAACGACTATTACATATACATTGAAAAACATTTTAAATATTTTATCGTACGTATTATATTTATTTGTAAATAAGATGTCGTTAATATATGGGTAGAATAGGTCGTGGAATAGAAATAGGAATATAGATGACCATTAATAAATTTCATATAAATAACATCTCGGTATAATGATTACTAACGCTTAGAAACGATCGGTATTCAATCCCTAAAATCACCATGTGGTGAATTGCTTTTACAAGCTGAATTGTCAACTGAAATGTTATTTTATAGTTCTTTTTTTAGTTGTATATCCATTTTAGGATTTGACTTATATACATTTTTAGTCTTTAAAAAAATTGAATAACGCCATAACTATATAAATGCGTTGAATCGGCAGGTATCGAGAAGTGGGGGGACTGTCCCCGTATAGCGACCGCAAGGACTCACTAGATCTGGAGCTCGGGAAGCGTGCGCGAATGAGCACACCGCCACTCAGCGAGCGCGTGATGCTATACGTGCGCCAGGACACCGAGGACGTGTACACCGCTCTGCACGTCGTGCCACCCACCACGCAGGGACTCCTGCATGCGGTAAGTGCGTCAGCCGCCTCGACCGATCGAGGGGCATGCATAACCTTGGTGATGTAAGCTAACCATAGAACACGAGCGAGCGAGACGGTTTCCGTCGCTTTCTCGGTTTCTCGTCCTTCGACAGTAGATGTGTTCTTTGTTGTGAAGTAAACGCAAGAAATCGAGACGCTTCGTCCGGCGGCGGGCGGTGGGCCGCTGGGTGCGGGCCGCCGCCCGCTGTTGCTGTAACCGATTGACGCTTCATAACCCCGTCTAATAAACACACGATCATCATAACCGCATGTTGTAATTAACATTCGCACGGCCGTGCACCGTACCCCGGCGAGTCCTCGCGAGTTGTCCTTAAGAAACCACTAGACCGGTTAATGAAGTTCCGTTAGACGAGACGTCTCGGTTAAAAAGGCGAAATGCCCATTTGTAACTCTTTTGTTTTTTGCTTATTTTCAGATTGAGAATAAGTACAAAATTTCAAGTTCGGCAATTAATAATCTTTATCGAAAGAACAAGAAAGGGTAAGTAGTTTTCATTGGCCTCAGATAAATTTGTTAGAGTAAACTCACCGGCCGCCTCGCGTTAATGGAGCATCGCTTTTCCCGTGGGCGCGCCACTAACTATACAAAGCTTTATGATACAAAAACCCCAATGTCTAATGAGCTTCGTAATAGGTGCCAGTTAATCGCCTCCCTTAATCCAATACACTTTAATTAAAAAATCCAAGCCTAGCATTGCTGGCAGACACTTGCACCGAATTAATGTAACCGTGCACTTAGTAATGATTTTAATTTATAACTAAAATTACTGATATTCCAATAATCTTTAAAGTTAATGTTAAATATTGTGTTTGCACGTGTTTATTTGTTACTTTACAACGTAACAGCTTTCAATCTGGAATCCGTCTGTGGTCTGCACATGCTAACTAAAACTTTATTTCAGGATTACGGCCAAAATTGACGATGAAATGTTGGCGTATTATTGCAATGAGGATATGTTCCTGCTGGAGGTGAGGCCGGCGGGGGCCAGCGACGACGAGCGACTGTATGACATCACGTTTGTAGAGTTGCCGCTCGACCCCTAGCGCCCTTCTCCCCCTTTTCTCACTACAAACACGACCAGCTCTACGCCGGGGCTGCGCCTACCGGCCTACAGTTTAACTCTAAGCATTCCCGATTTACACTCATAAAGTGAATAATTTTTACGGTATAAGGTTGTATCAAAAGTGTCGATCTCAGGTTGAAATTTACTTATAAGCGATCATCTCTCTATATTGAAACAGGATGTCACAAAATCTTTGGTTATAATTGTAAGCTAAGCGATCGTGTAGAGACGTTGTGTAAATATATACTTTAGTGCCTTATGAAATTGCATCGTGATCCGATCGCCCGGGGATGGCAAAATTAAATTGATGTTTGGTATGTATATGAAACCCGATATTAATTGTTGCGTTTCATTTTATTTAATGTAATTTCGTTTTTATATGACGATGATCTGTTGCTGAATATAAACGCGTGTGCCATTCACTCGGTTATCATAGGTATGTAGTTAACGTTTCAACAGGTACCTTTTATTCTTGCCATGATGATAAAGTAATAAATTCTTGTCACAAACTTATACGTAGGTAGAATATATCTACACTGAGAAAAGCATAATGTGCCTTCGTCATAATAATTAATGTTATCATAGGATAATGTAAGTGAGTTAAGTCAAATTAAATGCCATCCACTTTGTTAAGTTTTGTAAGCCTAAGTTTGCTTTATAAGCTCGCTCAATTCTTACAATTAGTAAAGTTGATATTAGTTTTAGGTACAATCATACGCACATTGCTTCCACGGCATGAGGAAACTTTGATGATCTTGACACCTACATAATACATTATTTATTAATTATACAATCAAATTATAATAAATTTTATCAACTTCAAACACGGTGTTTTTTTATCTGTATTATGCAATATTAAATTATGTCCATTCAAAATGGAAGCAATGATAACGTATATCACAATTTTATAATATAGAGCCGACGTATTTGCATAATGTTGGATGTATAATAGTCATGTAAAACATAGTCACAAAAGTCGTCCATCTGAACAACTTTAACATTGTCATCGATGGGAGTGGTTTGTGTATAATTTAAGATTTTAATAATGATACATTTGTTTTAATAAACGAATTTCGATACGTAGGTTATCGGGCCATGACAACAATTTATTGTACGAAGTATTTTGTGTCCAAGACTTATTTATATTATAAGATATCGAGCCGAAAAGGACCATATCTCCTAGCTACTTAAGTTTTTTTGTTTGTAAAACCTCTCCACAATGGACAAGACGAAATTTCAATTGACTATACTTAATCATGTGAATTCATTCAGAACTGTTATAGATACTAAAATAATTAAAGTGATTAATAAGTTATTTCCACCGATTATTCAAAATCTAGAACTTGGTTCTGTCAGTGTGTTGTGTCGTTCCGCGTCGAGACGACGTACCTGCTTATCTACCGTAGATCGTATTGGGTAGAAGCCACGACACCAATAAGTTACGAGGTGTGCCTAGTGCAGACGGTTTGATTAACTGCCATATTATGACATAATTTAGAGTACTTAATGTTCTTAGACATAGATTCTTTAACATAACGTTAGTTCTTTTTACTGTGTCTCATGTGACTTGCAGGTAGACATCGAATTTTAATTAAGTTATAGTACATATTATATGTAACGTGTTGTTTTTGTTTCATTCAGCAATAGCTGCGGTTGCGTTGTGACTTGTTCCGTCCTTCGCGTTTACTTATTTCCCATTCTTTGGCTTTCGTACACTTGTTATATCCCTTCACAACTTATATTAATATTCTAATTTCTTTAAAATGTTACGTGTTGGTTACGAATCCGTTGCTCAAAGACTGCACCTGTGGTCTCTAACAGCATTGTTTTTATACTCATATTATACAAGTAATTATATTTATTTATATACTTATTATTATAAATTGTGCAGCTTTAATATTTACTTACAATGATGTTAGCTCGTGATTCAGAATCTCGTCATAAGTCACAAACGTCAGTAGCAATAATACAGTCTAGTAGTTAAATGGGCGCGTCCGCGATTGTCGCCAGGGGTCGTGCGGTTTGTAGTCGCGAGGTCGCGTCATGGTGTCGCATCGCGCGACCACGCGATTTGTTGGTGCGCAGTTAAGCGGGACCTCCACCGATTAAGGTTGTGCAATCAGAGTTTTACTATAAAAGTTGTGTAATTATATTAAAGTGGTGAGTTATAGCGTCAATTGGATTGATAATTATATTTAATATAGAGTGTTGTGTGGTGGTGGGGGCGATCCGCGTGGCAGCGGTCGCGGACGCGCGGCTCGCGGAGATGTTAGTCACACTAGTTAAACACAATCCGAAAGTGGTAGCACATTTTCGTTTTTAAATTGTACTGTACTTAAGATTTAAATTGAATAGATGTTACGTTATTCTTTTATATGAATATTTGTAAGTTGTCATAAAAATATTATTAATATAATTATTTTTATCAAAGTTTATAATCTAAATAAAAATGTTTTTCTTGAAAACATTACCTTGGTTTTAATTATAACTTATATGGATACCTATATTGATTTCTCTAGTTTGATACATTTCACTATTTTCATCCTAATCACAGCTCCATCAAGCTGGAACCCGCTTTTAAAAAGAACTTGTTTTTTCTTTACCTACAAATGGTTGTAAATTGAAATTATTTGGCGGTAAATGATTATCTATATTAAATGATTAAAGAACAAGAAGTTACAAACCTCTACATCGTTTGTAGTTACCGGGTTAGTGTATTTTTTTTCAAAATGACGTTATTTTGAAGTTTACTTGAGCATCGTTTGTATATAAAGAAAAAAAAACAAGTTTTTCCAAAGCGGGTTCCGTAGTCGTACTTGGAAAGCTACAAATCACTGCTGTTGTGTAAACAGCCCTTCACACAACACCAGTGATTTGTAGCTTTACTTCGTAGCCCGTACTACTTAATACCTACTACTTGAGTTAAAACTCGTTTCGAAACATTTTCAATTTCTCTAAATCTCTTGACAAGTCTGGAAGCATAATTAAATAAGGAAAGACGTAATACATTTCATTAAATATAATAGAACTTTCCTTTTCTGTAATGTCTGAAGGAAAAACTAGTTAGTCGACACTTGATAGTGGTAATTGATCAGATAACAGAAACAACTATTCTGCTTTGAAAGGCTGCATTTCAAAATCTTTCTTTTATAATAATTGATGTTCGAAATAAGGTGAGCATTAACACTTGCACCGACAATAAGAGAGATGTTGTAGTTACCATAAGGTGATAAACGATACTACTCGTAGATTAACCAAGTTAGTTAGTTTATAGTTGTTTTTCATACAATGTCAATACAGAATAAAAATACCCAACAAACAATAATTAAAATTATGCAACATAAAATTTTGTACTTAAAAAAAAACATAAAAAAAGTAATAACCAAGCTACTCATTTTTATGGCATGCTTTATGTTTTAATGTGTATGTTGTTTATTAAATGTTTTCTGAATTGATAATTTATGTAGTCCAATAAATTATTTATAGAGCTGGTATTTTGCATAATAACAGAATTAAAAGTAATGGCTTTTTTTCAATATTTAGGATTAAGAATACGGAGTTTCACTACCCCTATTTATCCCGTGGGTGGGACTAATCCCTACTACACGCCCACCACTGTAACTCCTGTACACCAGGATCGGGAAGACCCAGGAGGAAAATTAAACTGTCTCGGAACCCGCAACGAAAGTAATCAGAAGAAAATTGGAGGAGTTGGCAATACAGTAAATCCACTTCCCTCCTTAGCAAAGCGGGAGACAAAATGAAGTAAAATAGGCCTCCCCCCCTTTTAAACAGGGAAGCACCACGGCCACCAAATATTACGGGTCCTAAGTGAGCTATATATATTTTATTTATTTTTGTATGACAGAATCGCTTAAACGCACGGAAATTCACCCTAGTTACATCACACATAAAATCCCCATAGTATACGTCCCCAGATGTCACCTGCAAGCTATTCAGCATTATATTACGTTTGACAATGCCGGATGGCGTAGTGGTTTATGTATCAGACTGTTATTTCAAAGGTCGCGGGTTTGATTCCCGCTCAAGTCAAACATTTGTGTGCATGAACATTTGATGTTTGATTTGGTCTGGGTGTTTCTATGTATAATATGTATATATGTAAAAGTATATATGTATTTATATCAGTTGTCTAGTACCCATAGTACAAGCTCTGCTTAGTTTGGGACTAAATGGCGTTGTGTGAATGTGGTAGAATATTATTATTATTATTCCAAAGACTACACTCACAGAGGATATGATGAGCAGACTGTTCACAGTTAGAGTTAGGTGTTGAGCATTGACACAATGGTGACTCGACTAATTTAAATGAATACAGTTTGCTCTTAAAGTTACCATGACCACCTCAAGCTATGTACTCGACAAAGTAAAGGTGGGGCCCTTTAGATGATTCCTCCCAGCGTTGTTGCCATTCGTCTGTAAGGTCATTATATAAATCGGACTGCTGTTGAAGCAATCTTGTAATTTTATCGCGATCTCGTGCTCCCAAAAATCGCATTCCGTACTTTGTTGTCTTGAGTAGTACATGGCTGCACTTCTCTGCACCACGAAATCGACCGGAAGCACTCCCACCAACACCGGCAAAGCCTCAGTGCTAACCGTCCTATATGCCTTGCACAAGAATATCAGTGCAAGTCGTTGACCATGTAACAGTTTGCGACGGACAGCGCCTACGGTTACCCTATCGGACCACACAGGTGCTCTATAGTAGGTACGTAGAACCTAAATAAGTAGCTCCGTAAGTACTAAAATGTATTAAATGATAGACCCCATGTCGCAGTTGATATCCTTGTCAATGCACAGAAACCCTTTTTAGGCTTTTCATTAACTATTTTAATATGTTCGATAAAGGAAAAGTTTCTTGCTAAAACTAATCCTAAATAACACACTAAGGTTTTATTTTTTACAATGACATTGTCAAATTTAATGCTCGGCGGTGATTTGAGGTTACCTATTAAAAGTAGCTGGAAGGTTTTGTTGAGTGCAAAAGTTAAGCGATTACGTTCACCCCAATGAGATATCAAGTTCAAACATCTATTGGCTAATCTCTCAAGCGTTACGCGTTCAGAGTACACCCGGATGGTATTGGTATCGCAAGAAAATTGTCAAAGCCGATATTTCACAAGTATGGACCTGGCACTGATCCCTGAGGACATCCCACACATCACCACCACCACCATCGACACAGAATGATGACCAAGTCAAGTTTATCACCATCGCAAATATCGCAGCGATTGTCGATTTCCATCATGAAATTTGACTCCACCTGACAGAAGCCGGAGCACTACAAGACGTTCTGAAAGCTTTCCTAACGACGGTAACAAATTGATTGGTCTGCAGGATTTAGAATCATCCGGCGGTTTGCCCCCACTTTTTAGTATTATACGAATATTACCGCACCGTCGAATACGAGAAAATATTCTTCTGCTTCTTTTATCATTTTTTTCGATATATTATCATCGTCGATCTGAGAAATTCGTCTGAAGATGGTAAGTCAGACATTAGAGATAGTAGTGGTTCGATGGCCCACTACCTGATCTGTCGGTGATGATCAGTGTCATTTTTCGGCCGATCGTCAGGTACGAGTGATTCTAAAAGATATTCTGCTGTTTATTCTACTCCTGTGGTATATCTGTTATTAAATTTGATGATCTGTATGTATGCAAGGTCGATAGATCTTTTTTCTTTAAATTCGTGATACAAAGGTAACCACGGACCCTCTCTATGGTGTTTATCAATAAGTTTCTGAATTAATTTTCCCTTGGATTTTTCCACAGCAGCTCTGTAGTCATCACATCATCATCAACAGCCTATAATAGTCCACTGCTGGACATAAGCCTCTCCTTAGAAAGGAGCTCTATAGTGGGACCTGGCAACTCTAAGAGCAATGCATATAGAATATCAATAGATGTAGGTGAACATCAAAATGCAGCACCGGACCCGGAGGAGGCGTATGTGCAGCAGTGGACGTCTTTCGACGACGACGAAGGACGACGATGATGATGAACATCAAAGTAAGCTGCTGTTTTGAGATATTATAGGAGGCAAACAAGCAGATGGGCTACCTGACGGTAAGTGACAAAGACAAGTGCTGTTCTTTTTCTGCAAGTAGGTAAGTATCGCCAAAGCTTTTCCAAGTGCAAGAATCACAAGTTTTTTTACTGAGACAATAAATAAAACAACATTCGCAACTTTCGTAGTTACATTTAATGAACCTTAATGTTTTTTAAGATAACAATTGTTTATTTTCATACTCTGTATACTTAGAAGCTTTAAAAAGCACGAAAGCGTCAATACAAAGAGTTGAAGAAAGACTAAGGAAATATCCGATTGTGTTGGTTTTATGAGTACAATCACAACGACACTAAAATAGTGTTTCTAACTTCCATTTAAGAACGTGTCAATGCCTTATTGAAAGTAAATTATTCAACAGAAATCAGGAAATAGAATATCTTAAGTATTTTGAACACACGGATTTTCATTGTAAATTTTCCAACACATAAATTATTTAATTATAATAAAATAATATTATGGCGTCATACAATGTTATTTTATTTAAATAAAATTTAAAAACCTGCCTGTTTGGCATTTAAAAGAAACTGATTTACTTAAAAATCAAATAAACTTTTAAATCAATCCATTAAGATAAATTATTGAATTCATTTGAAGTGTACTTTATCTTTAATTAACGAATATTTAATAAACAGACTTTCACCTTTCTATATTGATAATATCATTTGGAAGTGAGAATCGCTTCCATCAAATATAAGTCACATACATGGAAAGCAAGCTTGATAAATATTATAGAAAAGTGTAATGAGAACAGTCAAATGTTCATAAATACAAAGACGCAAAGTTGAGTTATGACAACCAGTCAAAATCCTTTTAATAATCTTTAGTTTGACTCTACATTTCAGGAACAGTCCTAACAAATGGGTATCATAAATGCAGAAGTAAGTTTGTTGGTTACGTTTTTATGCCGTAATTACTGAACTGATTGCCATGTTCATTAAAAGCCACATACAAAAGCTAAACCAAAATAAAATATTAGATAAAGCATCTCCCGACTTTTCAACAGGCACTTAGTGTGAATACTAAAAAATAGGCAATACGCTGGTCAAATAAATAACTAACGCTAATGCTGAGTATAATACTCGTGATATATATAGTTAATAAAAATACCACACAAATCGCTCCGTGTCTAACTAAGCTGGTTTACAATAAGGTAATGATAATATTAAAGAATTAATGTAGGTAAATATAGAAAAATCAATCTAATTTCAATCAACATCTCTCAAACGGCCGTCTGGTGCAAAACTAGGCAGAGCTATAGAGCCTGATAAACATACTTATATACATCTAAATACATACATATCATAGATAAATTACACCCAGACACAGAACAAATGATCGTGCTCATCACACAAGTATTTTGGGTGGGAATCGAACCCACGACTTCAGGATTAGCATTCTGGATCAATAACCACTAGGCCCACAGGCCAGTCATTCATTAATTAACTATTGCTTACAAAGTACACACTATATAATAAATGTTATTTTAGTAATAAAATTCACATTCGCTAAACCCCGTATACAATAAAGTCATCAATACATAGATAAGCCACTAACACTTTTATAAAAATACGTATTATTGGCAAAAGTAAAGCTAGAAATGCAAGATCTACTTTTTGAATAATACAAATAAGTATTACCGATAACTAAATGTAATTAATTTCTCTAATATAATTTTCCACTAAAATGCGGGACACTACATTATTTACTACGGCTATAATCATAAATTAATGTACGTATTTTTAACTCACGAGGTCACTTTTAATGACTTTACGTTATTAATAGTTTCATAGCTCCCACGCGATTATTATGCCAAGGCATAAAATGATGTTTATTAAAAATTTATCTGTAATTACCAACACTTTCACATTCCGAACGAATATACCTACCTACTTTATTACTTTCTATTTATGGCACATGTAATAAGATGCAATTTGCGTTAAACTAAAACAGTCCGCAATTTGGCTAAAACATCCACTATATGACAAACCATAATTCATTTAGGTACTATATAATATAGGCAAACATAAAGAAATCAGACTAAAATAAGCCTCATAGTACCACGAAGTTATTCACAAACGACAAAATATTTTTTATGGAGTATTGGTAGTGGTAAATTAGTAACAACTATGCTTCTATGCAAATTACTGAGAGATTTGCTAATCTTGATGTATAACGATTTGAAGATCTCGGGCAAAATCTATCAACCATTTCATTAGATCTGTATTTTGAACCGTTCTCCCTCGGAGCAGTTCTGGAATGATTGCTATTGAATGAGGGGGGAACTCTGACTATCGCTGAAGTCGAGAGTGTAGTACATATCAGTGGTGTCCAGGGCAGCAGAGGGTGGTGGGAACGGTGCAGCGAGCGTCGGAGCCCGTTTGTCCTGTAGCCAGTGGTGGGGAGGGCCTGGCTCCGTAACGCGGGACAAACGAGACAGAAGACGAGAGTAAGTCTTGTTCACACGGCAATGACAAGCAGTTACCTGAAGAGAAATAATAACAATTGTAATATTTGAGCAAAATTTTACCTACTTCGTTTTTCTCTGACACCTTGAAATATATGTAACTGTGGCTTATACATATATAAATTAAAAATATATTTGAAGCAGTATTATTATTTAATTACTTTAATGATATATTCTTGTGAAGTGAAATTATTAGAGAGGTACGTAGTGTAATATGAATATAACGCTTAATGTAAGTAGTTGTTATTCAGAGACGATACTGTAAACGATAGTATCCTTTAGATTCCTAAGTTCAGAGTTAACAGCTCACCACAACTCCAACAATAGCAATGGCAGCACCAAGTGTTCCAGCAGCAATATACACATTGTGAAGGCGATCGTGATAAAGGCCGAGTGGCATTCGTACTTCACGCACAGAGCCACCACCCATAATCTCACTTCTCCCTCGACCACGAGATTCCATGTCCATACTACCCTCACTCTCCACTACAGGTTCCAGAATAAAATCCTCTGGAAATAAAATAGTATCGTTAAGAAAGTATTTATTTCTGAACTTCGTCATCTTTATACTGTATTTAAAGGAAGAGGATATTTTCTATTTATACTCGTAGAATGTTAATGCGAGTTCAATAGAAATCTGTTGCCTAGAAAACGCTGAGTAGATGCTCCACCTTCCCAATATGGGACCAACAGGAAATATTTTTATGCAACCCTTACACAATGGTCCAATAGTATTCTATGCTGTTTCACATCACATCAACAGCCTTTAATAGTCTACTGTTGGATATAGGCCTCTCCTTATAAAGGCCGTTTTGGCCTACTATAAGCTATTATCTATATATAGATTTAATGAGTTATTGCTGTATTCTGCTTCTGAGGTTAGACACACCTACAATTGTAGAAACCACTATGTTCATGTATGATGTTGGTCCTTATTTCTATTATCATTAAGATGTGCTACTCGTACAACAAAAAAAGTTATACAAACGAACTTGACACTAATTATTTTTTGTGTATGTATTTAGTATTATCTTATGTAAAAGTAGTAGCTAGATTACAATCGATTCCTCAATAGTATATAATACTATACTGTACTAGCTGTACCCACGATTTCACTTTTCGTTTAAATTATAGGTAAGTAACTACTGCTACTGCTGGTACAACTATTTTATGATATGTATAAATTTTATTAATTCTATAAATGTAATCGTAACTCTGTTATTTTTTAACGGCAAACACGAGATCCCAATGAAATGTCAAATGTCCATCATAGTCCTTTGTGATATACAAAGAAGGACGTAGTAGACTATCATTTTATTGCAAAATTTCAAGAAGCGCCAGCTAAGCCGCGGCTGCATAAAACAGAAAGTAGATATTTTTACCCGTACACCAGAACAATTTGATACAAAACTGTTCTGGCTACCAAGGTTTATAATGATGGATGATGTGCCTGCGACATCTATGCTTTATCAGTTCACAAAACACGAACCATGAATAATATAATTATTGTCTCGTATAAATAAATGATTATGCTCTTCAAATTCGTGGGTTTTAATTGTATGTTATAAATACTCGTATTTCTGTAGTTTAATGTCTTCCTGGATCATCGAAATTGTCTTTTTTGATAGATTTTTAATATATTCAAAACCACTTTAAATATATGTCTGTAAAAAATAATGAACTGGACAAGATTATTTAACCTAATAAATTAGTCATTTTTTTACATTCAAACAACAATTCAATAAGTACCTACTTCAAAGATAAAAATAAAGTAGGTAACATCTTGTCGAAGGATTTTAATAGTTTTATTACCATTGGAACTTCTTTTCGTACAATATAGAATTCTTTTAATTTATAGTTAATTTCTAACTTTCCCGCTCTCCTCATTTTAACAGCCGTATGAAGGCGTACGGTACACCGTACGCCTTCATACGGCTGTTAAAATGAGGAGGAATCCCTTAAAAAAATCCCCTTCACCAGTTAACTTTTTGACTCGCATTAAACTCCAGGGTTACGTTACACTTTCTTCTTCACGTATTTTACGATACACATTATAAACAATACATCACATTTGAGATCTAAATGTTTTTTCCAGATTTTTATTTGATTTTTCGAAAATCTCACCTCACATTTCACTCTCAAATCTTTCTTCTTCAAATCTCCTTTCTAAGGAGAGGCTTATATCCAGCAGTGGACTATTAAAGGCTGTTGATGTGATGTGTGTGATGAAATCTTCTAAGTTGACTTATACATCCATTCTATTCATTTTTATTCGACTTCAAAAAGGAGCAGGTTCTATGTTCCACTGTATGTATTTTTTTATATTTGCTTTTTATACTATGTGATACACCTTTACATGTTTATTCAAAATTGTTGAAGAATCAAAAGTAGTTTGAATATTGTAACTGTAAAGAACTGGTTTCAATAAAGGACCAGTTCCGAATACCGTGGTCCGTCACTACGCATGGGCATAAGCACAATATCTTTTTATAACAGTTATTGTAGTGTATCGTTTACGAAGGATATGTATATCAATGTAAAATTATGTATATATGAGCTGAAGTATTGTGTGTTGAATTTAGTTTACTCACCTTCACAAAGCTTGCCTGTGAAACCAGGTCGGCATGAACAGGAGAAGGATTCTATTACAGTCCAGCAGGTCCCGCCGTGGGCGCAAGGATTGTTGTCGCAAGGCTAAAATAACAAATGTTTGTACAAAATCTGTTTTTATAAAATCTTTTATCTAACTATACGTATATCTTATTCAACAATCAAGCAACCTAAATCATTAGTTCATTATCGACCGTAAAACATGATTCTGTACCGACCCTACCCAAATAAAATAGTACCTAGTCACAAGTAGCAGATTTTATTTCTCCTACTTACTTCTGCTAAATCAACAAATATACATCAGTTCTTCTATGCTAACATTCATCTTGGGATATGAATTTTTATGTTTATGTATATTACGTAATATTTTAGTATTCCGCCGTTTTCGTGTGCTGCTATCAGCAAATGTATCGGGAGCTCGCCGACACGCATCGTAGACATAAACAAGGAAAATTCGTACGATTATATGTATGCGGATAAGTGATTGAAGAGTGAGTGAGTTTAGTAGATAATTTATTTCATTTATTTAGTTTCAGCGCTTCTTAGTAGGGAGATATTTATTTTATATGGCATTAATAAGACATATTTTTACCCGACTGCTAAGGAAGAGTTATGTATTTCACGCGTATCTTCTATGTTTGTAATTATTTTTACCTTGTATCTTCCAAATAGCTGAATGGATTTTGACAGTTTAGGTATTGTTTTTTCCATCTTAACACCCCAAGTATCCTTAGATAACTTTTTGATAGAAAAAAATACAAAATGGCGTCTTTTTGGCGTAAAATAGTAATAGGTAAAAAAAAACCTATTGGGTAGTGCTGCAAAATCAAGAAAATTAAAAGAGGACTACGAAAATAAATATAAGTCATAGATTTAAATTAAATAAGGTATAATAAATTAGTTTTATAAAGCTTATCATTGCGTAAAAATGGCCCATATTTGTGCCGGACTCGTGCTATTTCGGTCTTTTTAGAGCATTACTTTTAAATTGTCTCTTTACAATCTTTTTTGATTTTTGATTGTTTGATTTATTACTTGTTGATGATAAAACTCTATTCCATTCCATTCTATACAAGTCTACGCCAATACAAGAAACAATCAATGAAAAAGAGTTTGAAGTACATTACCTAAGCTCGTTTTTTAAAATTAATTTCATTATGTAATATTTTGTAATTACCGATCTAGCCGGTAAATGACATTCGTCGCCGACGTATCCCTGAGGACACTCGCATGCGTGAGTGTTCCCGTGATCTCTGCAGAATCTTTGTGCAGGACAAGGATTCGGAGAACACAAATCAACCTGAAAATGTAAACAGATGATAAATAACAATAGCTACAAAATTAATTTTATATCAAATCCCTGAGATGAAAGTAATATTGCACAAGAGACATCGAATAATACTTAGTTTAAAGATAAATAGTGTCTAAATGTAAACAAAATAGTAACGAGCTTTCGAAAAATAATAAATCAAATTCCATTCATTGCGAGGCTGTTAAGTCTTCTTAAGTCATAAAATTCATACCTGATACATTCCATCGCGTACTGGAATTCTTTTCCTACTACAGGCGTCAAGTCTCAAAATAACAATAAGAAAAGTATAGTAAAGATAATTGTGGATTCAAAATAGGTACAAGATATAAAGATGGAGATCAAAAGACATGAAGAGATATTGTGATCACTGTCACTATACTCATTACTTTTATTCCAGTAGCTCTAGGGATAACGATAGGACTTGTTTCGTAAAACGCAAATCTCTTAAATCTCAGAAGTTAGATGAGGAGACAGTTAATAAACTTTAATTGAGAGCGATTTATACATACTATATAAAACTCTATACGTAAGTCAGATAAACCTACTGTGGTTCAAAACATTGCCATTAAATGGTTACTTTAAAATGCATGTGCTGTTACGCGTAATGTTTCCGCGGCCGATAACAGTCTTTAGTATTACGCACAAACATCTAATTTGTATGATATGTGGTATATGACCTTGAGCTGGCAAGTATTGCCGGTGTAGCCGCGGTCGCAGGAACACACGAAACCTCCTACGCGATCTGTGCAGGTACCACCGTGCGCACACGGTGAAGATTCGCACTCATTGTACTCCATGTCACAGCGATCGCCAGTATAACCTGGACACCGGAAAATAAATGTTAGTAATACATTCCATTCCAGTTAAGCACTCGGGGTTTATAAAAACTTCGTCTGAATTTACATCTCGAACTCAATATTGGACACATAAACTAAACTTAACCAGGTTACTCTTGGATATTAAAGTTTAAAAATAGGAACCCGTTCAAATTTAAACAAGCTTTTGACCACAATCTTATTCCAGGAAATTGCAAGTAGTTCTCTTTAAATGTTTACTTAAATATTATTACGTGTCTGTTCCATTAGAAACCTTGCAGAATGTTTGGGTACATGACTTTAACCTTTTAACCTCTATAAGAACCTTTCCTTTTTGAGGACTTCAGTATTAAGTCAATTATGGCTAGAAACAATTACTTAAAATTGAAACTAGACACTCCTCTGCTCCTTTTAAAGGTTGAATTAAAAATACACAGGAATTTAAGTCTAATAATAACTAAAAGAAAAAAACAATTAATATAAATTTCAAATCAACCATTTCCTAAAAATGTTGCCAAAATCGAAAGGGAAAAAAACTCGGCAAAAAGTCATTAAGTTTGATTTATCACGCAACTAGACATTTTGGTCCTGGTTTCTTTTTAACCTACTGTGAAACGTCTTAAGTTTCTTCTTTCATTCAATTTAGACTCATGATATCGAAATAAAAAGACACATACTCAGCATACAGTATAGATAATAAAATCACTCTAAAACAATATCTATACATTTATAAGTATCATAAACTTATTCTTTTATTCAGTTAAAATAGGTGAAATTTAGAAATAATATTAATTTTCTTCTAACTTAATCGTAATATTCGTAGTAAAACTAAAGTCATGCTCAAAAAAAAAAGAAACGAAATTTATTTACTCTAATTCCCCACTTTTATTTTGAAATACTACTTATTTGGGTTATTAAATGACTCAAAACTCCTAAATTTGATTATTTACTCGTAATAACTATAAAACTTCAGTGTAGTCGCAGACTACTTGATGTGAGAGAAAACACTTCAGCTGAGCTGAGCATAGGAACTAGGTACTAGGTAAAGTCCCAGCATCAGTAGTCAATTGTTTTTTTTTATCAATTACGTAAAACTGCAATAATATGTATGTGTTACTTTGTCTTGGTTATGTATTTTTATTCAAATAATTATTTATTCAAATTTGACATGGTAAAGAATATAAGCATAGACTTTATAACGACTTTCAGTAGTAAAGACAAATAATCCTGTTGCAAGATGAGACAATTATTTATTAAGAGGGTTGTTTACGTGCATACACGATGCGAAATTACAATATTATTCACCATGAAGAAAAACACTTTTAATTTATTCAATCATTTTTATTTCCGGGTCGTAAAATATTGATGTATTCCGAAATATGTGTAGATAATGACGTACGTATTTACCTCATTGAAGAACCTGAATTATATTTAAATAGATAACAAAACCACCTCATTTTTTTTGGTATGTTTCTTGTTTCGTGGAAATACAATCGAACAAGAATCCTAAAATTGGCAATGTTAATTTAAATCAATTACAATAGCAAATGGGATGTAAATTTATCAAAAAAACATCATTAATTAAATTATACAGTGATTAATAATACCAACTTATATCCTTGTTATGGCATTTAAGGACAAGGAAGTTATTCAAAGGCTTTAGAGGCGTATTACAAAAAAAATTGCTTGGAAAGTTAAAAGGTTAATGTTAGTCATCCTACTTTAAATATTATAACTGTGATTGTGAGTTTGTTAGATACGCTTTCACATACTGGAAACTCCACCAATCATCATGAAATACCTACATGTTGTCTGGTACAAAAAAGGGCATGATACCTATAGTTCAGAAAAATCAATTCCTGAGGTATTGAAATATATCTTTTATGTAAGGTAGCGAAGCAGAATAAATGAAGGTTCCCTGAATAAATAAATGAAGTTAAAAAATAAGCAATCAACATTTGCGAAAGTAAATATTTTAATTAATGGGAACTTAAAATAACAAAGGAAGTACATACTTCATTATATTACCTTGTAGGTAGGACACAAGCCGTTAAAATTGGAAATCACATAAGTTCTGAACAAGTTTTGGACTACGGCGTTCCCCAGGGGAGTATTTTAGGCCAAACATTATTCTCCATCTATTTTAATGACCTCTGTGAACTCCATTCCACAAATTGCAATATTTATGCGTATGCTGATGATACGGTACTCTTAATAAAAGGTGCAACCTGGCATGAAACAAAACACCACGCTGAAACTGCTCTTACAAAGGTTCAGGCCTGGCTAACAGCTAATCTCCTTACACTTAACATCAATAAAACCTGTTTCATGACATTTGCACACAAAACATCTATGCTGCCACCTACAGACACTTATCAAATTAAACTGCACACATGCATCGACGGCACTATTAATTGTAACTGTGCAACTATCTCCAGGACTTGCCAGGTTAAGTATCTGGGTGTCTACATAGATCAGTTCCTAAAATGGAAAATACATATTAATAATTTAACATCACGAGTCAGGAAACTGATCTATGTATTTAAAACTCTTTGAAGTTCAGCAGACCTTAAAACGCTCACCATGACCTACCAGGCACTTGGTCAATCAATAATCTCCTACTGCATTACCTCTTGGGGTGGTGCAGCAAAAACAACTATGCTTCCACTGGAGATTGCCCAGAGGTCTGTCCTCAAGGTCATGTCTAAAAAGAATTTTTCGGTACCCAACCAGTAACTTGTTTAAAGATATTCCGGTTCTGACAGTGAGGCAGCTCTTTGTGCACCAAACTGTTGCCAAAAAACACTCAGCAGTAACATACGATCCAGGTCTTCACACAAATACACGTGGACTCAATAAAATATGTCCCGCAATCCGTCACAACACAACCCTGGCAAAACGACACAATAAAGTTATAAGTAGTTTTCTTTATAACAGAATCAACAAAATTCTCAATATATATCCTCTGAATAAGCATAAATTTCGCCGAACTCTCAAAACATGGCTACGCACCTTAAACTATGCGGAAATAGAAAATTTGTTTAAAACTCTGATCTGAAAATAAATGGGTAGGATCCCTCTACTCGTAACACAGGTTTATTCCTAGCACGAGAGAGTGGCCCTGCTGTACCGTGGCGGCGACTACAGTTGATTACGTCAACATTGTCACAGTAGTTATCTATGTACTCTCGTTTATAACTCTTAGTGAAAATAAAGTATTATTATTATTATTATATATTGTAGTCTAAATTCTGAGTTTTCTTAATTTTGTCGGAACTTGTGATGATTTTATATTCATTAATTGCGTGTCGGACTAACAACAATTAATCTTTCAAAGCAGCCGTTTCTTGTTCATAGCAGAAATAAACCTAATTTCAGAATTAGAAAAATAAAAAAATGGAATCATTATAGAAAAATTAGAATCATTATTGACATTAAAACAAAAAAAATCTCCCATTTAGCACACTACTTACAAAATTAAATCCTTTGTTCGGAGTCTTATAGCACTTAATAAAAAAGGAATAAGCTCAACTTTAACGAAACAGCGATACATGCAAAAGTTTTATGTAAGGTATCTGGTGCTCTCTACTACACCAACTGCTTTTTCCAAGACACCTCCTATATCAACATTTAGGCACATCTATATTATCTATATGTATATTCATAAAAAAAAAAATTTCGTTCCACGCGTAAACAACTACCAACCAGTAATGTTTGAAACTCGAATGGAAAACAATTTGTAAAAATATTTTTAATATCGTGCAACATTTCTATATTTTATTACAGTGGCTGCGTTGGGTGTGCAGATTAGATTAAATTGTCACAAAAACATATTTCATTTCATCAAAGTTTTCTTTAGGATGTTTCACTTTATTAAACAAATATTTCATTTCACTTCAGATCAATATTTTCATGAAATAAAACTGTTTTGTGGCGTTACTCCTCGAGAGTTCGAATTGAACATTGGACGAAACCGCAGCACAGCTAACGTAGTGGGCAGCTTTCCAACTTCGACTCAGATAAATCACCACCACAAATTCGCTGTATACAAGTTTCAGCCACTATCAAATTGACCTAGCTTTGACATTCATTTGACCTCTAAAGTTAATAAAGTCTTCTATTATTATAAAGTAATCTTAGACTTATGTTACAATGAATTTTCAACTGGTATTTCGAGTATTTAACAGTAATCAACAGCCTTTAATAGTCCACTGCTGGACATAGGCGTCTCCTTAGAAAGGAGGTTTTGGCCTACTATACCACGCTGGCCAGACGGGTTGGTATAGGGTTTGTGTCAAGTTTTCCTTCTTTTTGCAGTGCTAGTGCCCATGTGTTGTTTTGCGCCCTTAGTCGGCTCTTACGACACCCACGGGATGAATTGGGGTAGTGACATTCCGTATTCTTAATCCGTCACTACACGGACATAATACTACAGTAATAATACTACTATAAACCAAAAGAAATTTGCATTTTTGTACTTGATGACTTTTTTATAATGACTTCTATACATTATAATGTTCTGTGCAAATACTAAATTACTATGTAATTTTAAGAAAAGACGTATAGTATAATTGTTGGTGTATGTAATCTCTGAAATTGGTTTAAACTCTTAGTGTGTTGGTAGTGACCGCCACACAAAACGTATAAGTTAAAATAAATTAAATGTTACGCTCATGAATGACTTTAATACAAATCGTAATTAATGTGACATAAGACTTGACGACTTAAATTTCACGTTATAATAGCGTCGGCGATTTCATCCCACCCGACAATAAACAAGTCCTTGATACGGAGATCAAAAGAAGGCACTTTGTTTTATAACGTAATCGGCTTTTAGATATTCTTTGTGATTGTTGTAGTACTGAAAAGATACTTCTTATTTTTGTATTAATAGGATCAGCGGTATTTTCTCATTAAATCTCCTTTGATCGTAAGTCAAATGTCGTTCCGCTATTGCTACAGATAGAAGAAGAATTTGAACTTAAAAGTACAGCATACTTTTTGAAATATCTGAAGTAGATTTTAGTAACATATTCGTATCTGCTAGAGCTTTCTAAAGATCGATCCAGACCGACGCACAAGCCTAATATTGGCTTACATCACGGTTTTTTAAACAAAACGGGGACCAGTTAGGGAACGGGTTCCAATTTAATAAAATAATTGTTTGTCTAAAGAACATGTAACTGTTTTGGCGTTTAATTTATCAGAAGCTTAAGAAGCAAGCACACACTGATTCGGTTCTTTTTCTTATTATTCCTCTGTTTTAAGATTTCTCCTATACGCAAAGTTTGTAGTTTGTTTTCAAATTTAGTTAACAGAGAACATTTAATACAGTTTATTTTCTGAAAGTGGTTAAAAAATATGGCTCAAGGATTGCATAGGTACATAACATAGGTACAACGCATCCTATACTATACTGAACCCTAGAATTTCAAATCCTAGAAGATGCCAGTTCGTATTTAGAAATTGAGTGTGCAGAGATATATTTGTTGTCAAGTGCAAGAATTGTTACCAATTTTTAATTTAATATAATTATTCAAAACTCACCTGGTTGACAGAAACAGCGATATTCTTCTCCAGTTTCATCACTATCGATCTGTTCAATACAAATCCCTTTGATGCAAGGATTAGAAGCGCACGCGCCTCCTGTTACAGTAAGTTCACAGTGCGCGCCTGTAAACCCGTCAGCACATGCACAGTGAAAAGTTGTAGATCCGTTCGTCGAAGCCATGCTCATACAAGATCCTCCATTCATACAAGGAGATGAGTAGCAAGGGTCTCTTTCACATTTCCTACCTGTAAAACCTAATTAAAAAAATAATACTCTAATATCAGTTGGTTTATCTCAGTTTTTGACACTTTAACTAATTTTATAAATCCGAATGGTAGCTGATGGTTTTAGCGTGAACGCATATGCATAATCTAATTTTATTTTTTACAAGATTTTTGTTTCTTTTTTTGCTGCACAAAACATGCTGTGGTAGAGACCAAAGTTCGGGAAAAGCAGTGAGTTAATATTGGTTGTATATTTTACAAATGTTACTTACAGCAGAATCATAAGAATAGTTTATGCTTCATATGTTAACTGTCATCTGGTTAGGTATTTAGTACTACTAATATATAGTAATATATAATTATTAGTTATTAATAAATATATAGAAGAACACAGTTGCATGGTTACGTAATACTAGCGGTCGTTGCGGTCACCAGATTGCGTCACTTTCGCCTTTAATTTGCCAAAAGCACGTTTTATTTTCAGAGCACGAACAAAATCGTTTTTGATGTGTTTCAAGCGAAAAAGTCTGTGCAATATATCTACCCTGGGGCACTTCTAGTCTTGCCTTTCACTGATTTACTTTTAAGGTCACATGCTGATGATAGGTTTATTGTAATTATTAATAATATTTATATGTATTTGTAACTAAGTTAAGGAAGTAGTAGTTTTATGGCTTCTGCACGATCTTTCAAAGTAAGCTCTTAAGCAGAATAACATAATACGATCTTTAACGGGCAACTTATACATTATTATTGTTGTATACGTGATATTTCGCCTTCAAAGCTACGTTTGCTTTTTACATATTTCAGTTACTTGTTTATATTTTCTTATCACGTACGTACCAAACATGAATAAAAGAAATTGAAAAGAGCGATGTAGGGTTTTCTGAGTTGATTGTAATAAATATTGAAGTAGAAAGATTTAAAATACTGTCGGCAGGTAACGAGTAAGTTATATAGAAAAGAAAGTATTAATACTTTTTTTTATCAAATAACTTATATGATATATCGTGAAGTTAAATGTAGTGAATATTTTGTTCGGTACAAAAGGAATCTGTTACGACGAGGCGTGACTTATCTAATTGCATTAATATTGTTTCTCAAAATATTACATGTATGTCATCATAACTACTACATATCTTATGTAGTCTAATAAAAGCCAAATATACTCGTATGTCGGTTATTTATCTTTCAACTACCACTCACTTCAATTCAAGCAGAAAATATAATATTTAGTTGAACAAACGAAACTTTTATTTGCTTTAATTTGATATTGATAAGTTCGCACAAATTCCAGCTCATATGTTGACTTGTTAATGACAGTTGACATAATAAAATAGAGGTAACCTGAATAATAACAATGACGAAAGGCTGTTGTAATAAGAAATTCATAGCGCAAACCTCGTGGATTTTCATAACCGAGTCTTTTGCACTGACTACGACTCTGTAATGAACTCTTGTAATATGAATTACCTTTGTGGATATACCTTTCGGAGTAGCAGAAGCTACCGTCAATTTTACGTGAAAGTTTTTGATTTCACATTAACTACCCTGACCTTTTAGTTATGCAGAATAATAGTTTTAAGAACTTCACTCTCTTTTTTTGCAGAGAACTACATGGTAAGGAGTAGACGACAGTGTAGTGTCATCAAAAGGTTGTTCTATTCTGTTGTATTATCGTTCTCAAGACAATTAACAACGCAATTAAAAATATCAAAATGTGTTTGTCATGTACCCCATTTTGGGATTTACCAGAAATAATAGTAAATGTTTTATGTACCATAAGAACAGAGACAACGGTAGTAGGCGCCGTTCAAAGGTTGCGTGAGGTCAACACATATACCGTTATTCAGGCATGGTGATGGATTGCATGCGTCCCGCTCCTCGCAGTGCGGTCCTACGTAGTCGGGGCAACACTGGCACTCGTACCCTTCCTATAAAAGTGCCACGTCAATAATACTGTTATTTACCTATATATTTCAATAAGAAAACAAACATTTTGCTTACCATAGAAACGTTAGTGTAACACACGCCTTTGCCAGAACAATCCTGGGCCTCACCACAATTGTCGGCTTTTACTGTTACTTTCAGCCGTACACATTGAGATTTCCAATTCTCTGAAACAACTGGTAAAAACATATTTATATAAATAACCACAATGTAACTTAAAAATAAATAATTTGCTAGCCCAAGACATCCAATAAACCGCCCGAGTGAGTTTTCATAGCCACGGTCTGCGGCACGCAATGCATTATACAGCGAAAATTCCGCACATATCCATTGTGCGATCAAAGAATGAAAAAGCCGCTTTCGTTTGCGTTTTTCCTTCATAGTTCCTTCCGTTTTTCGGTCTATAATACATATATTTTAACCGTTACATCGCCCCTAGTATTGCTGTTCCCTAGCAGCTGTCACGCTACATTTAACTGAATAAGAACAGTTCACTCCAAACCTATGTAAAAGTAGATTGACATAAAAGTGTATCTTCAATACCTATGAGTAAATTGACTCCCTCGGTAAGATCTTTTTCATAAAGCGTGAATATCTTAGCGCCATGCTCGTCTAGCGGGGTGATGTCCAGTAACATGCCGTCAGACACGTCACAATGCTCGTGTCCCTGGCGTGTCACTTGGTATACGGCAGGCTGCAACATCGTGCGGTGTACTCTGGAAAATCAATCTGTGTGACGATACAGCGTTTAGGGACGGGTCAGTGGACACAAGCAGGCATGAACAAAATAGGTCAGGCACGCATAACTAACCTGTCCCCATCCACGTGAGAAACGTTCGGGTTCAGAGTTCTGTTCTTTGCATCGATCTGGATAAAGGTATCAAGTAGTAAGGAGTCCGCGATGCGAACGATAAGGATGTCCCCACTCTGAATGTCGGTGGAGCCCTCCCATGACACGATGACCGGGGGACACTCCTCTTCGACCGCACCCTGCGTAACTCCCCCGCCACCACCGCCTCTCCCTGCGCACTCCTCCGCCATCCATACAGTAAAGTTATACATATATGTTAATTAATTAACAACTTTACGTCTGGCAATACTACTTCGAATAGCTACGTTATCATCTTTATTTCATTTACGTGACCAAATTTTGTTGCCAAGTATGAAGTTTGCTTTGGTCCTGGTATTATACCAAAATTTATGTCTGATTCCCAGTCAGTCTATTCTTATTGAAACATACACAGGTGCGGTCCTAAACTATGAATTTATGTCTGATTTGTGCCAATGGACATTAAGTTTACAAGCAACTCAAAACTAATTACATAAAATATACTCGTACATACAAAAGAGCCACTACAAATAATTATTCATGGTAGAGACGTTATTAAGGACAAAGAACGTAAGCATATACCTAAATTATTTTATTACGAGTTATTTATTAGTATTCGTTCAAAAGTTAGTTAAAAATATACCTATATTAAACATAAAGATCAAATGTGGTATTGATCATGGTACATAAATAATGGATTAGTCGTTTTCCTTAACAGAAGCAATGAATAGAGTTGAAACATTGGAGCAAAAAAGCTTTTTCTTATTTCTCCTTCAGCAACACGATTTATGGTTTATGTGTTTGACCTCGCTATGCTCGTTGCCGTCACGATCAAAGTTGTGCGAACAAGAATATTATGCTCTGAAATAAGGGAGCGGAAGTAAAGACATTGTATAAATCGCCTATAAACATTAAGTTTAGTAAGCATAGTACATTTGCGTCTTGGGTTATTATTTATTACACATACCGTACTTCTAACTTTTTAATTTTCTTTGGGAATTTATAATATTGCGCATAATTGTTATTTTTAACTGTGTTATAAGTAACATAATGAAACCATACCAACATATTCTTACAGCAACGTTGTTTTGCTACAATTATATGTTAAATGATCTTACCCTTACACAAATAATTCTACATCGCTAGTCAGCTTTTTTTACGTATGGACCGTTTCAGACCAGGGTTTACTGCGGGGTGGTGAGTTGGAATCGAACGGACTAAAACCACACGATGTGCTACTCTGCGCCTAAAATTTTGGCGCTTTAATGCCGCCCAGTTCGCCGGTGGTGAATTGGGTCCGAGTGAAAGTTATCCTACCGGGCCCTCTCCGCCGCCTCCTCTTTCGAGATGACGTCTTCGCAGACGCGATGCGACCGCAGTAAAACATTTGTAGCCATGGAGCGTATGACGGTCCGTATCGAGAGCTCCTCTCTCATGACTGCAACGATGACCCGACGCTACGACGCCCAAGCCGGGCAAGTTGCCAGCATGTGCTGAGCCGAGTCCTTACTGCAATCGCACTGGTGATAGGCGGGACTTAATTCCCTACTAGCGACCGAGTGCAGGAACTTCCCGAAGCAGCCGTGCCCAGCCAGCACGCGGAACCTCTACGGACGACCTTGGACGATCAACGAGCCATCGTGGCTCGGCTAGCGACCACGCCCCACTCGCCTACCTCTTCAGACGGGGGCCGATTGCCGCTACCCAGCCGGAACTCCCAGAGAGCTAGTACTCTATATATTATAAAGCATACATATAATCTATTTATACACAGATTTTTTGAACATCAACAGTCTTTGATAGTCCACTGCTGAACATAGGCCTACTACACCACGCTGGCCTGACTCGTTGGTACAGGGTTTGTGTCAAGTTTTCCTTCTCTCTGCAGTGCTGCGTCCTGCGTAGTTTGCCCCCTTAGTCGCCTCTTGCGACACCCACGAGATGAATAGGGGTGGGTCACCACCAGAGTGTCCGTGTGGTGACGGATTAAGGGTACAGAGTGTCATCTGTACCCTTAATCCGTCACCACACGGACACTCTTGAACACTCTTTCGTAAATTGATACTATCACATACAACATACCACTGTGTCCACAATTGCCCATCAAGAAAAAAGAATTTAAAACATTTATTGGATATCATCATCATCAGCCTATCGCAGTCCACTGCTGGACATAGGCCTCTCCCATTGCGCGCCACTAAAATCGATTTTAGGCTTCTCGCATCCAGCTCCTGCCAGCCAAATCAAATCTTCAATATATTATAAATTTAGTGACGATATATTTTTATTATACATACTATAAACCAAATACCTGGAATAGTCAACAGAGCACGGACCCCAGAAATAAAGAAAATGTTAACCGTCCCTAAAATGATATGAAAAAGTAATTAATCATTTTGTTGACATTAAAAACCCAGTATCTGCTAGAAAGTTTTCTTTGTGCAACTAAACATTTTTATTCGATTTTACACATTACTTCTTTGTTCTTAGATCACGTAAAGCGTCCTTGGTACATAAGTGTTGAATTACATAAGACCCATTCAAGGCTATGAGAAAACTAAGTAACTGGAACTTTCTACAACATTTACAACGTAGAACATTTAGTTACACATTTTTATCAATATCGTATTTCACAATTATTTTGGCAATTCTACTTTGATCTTAAAAAGAATATGGCTTACCGATTTAAAAAGCACTTTGTGTGGATCTTAGAAATCGAACTAAAACAAGGATGAGATAGGAAGGAGGAATGTAAACAATGACTCAAATGGAAAAACGTATGTATAACGTAAATATACGGTGCGACCATACTGATAGAGCTATTTCTTCTACGAACACTCAACTTTGGAAATGCCAAGCTTTTCTCAATAGACCATAACTTGATATTCTCGAGGAAGAAAATTACAAGGTATTTTTATAATCGATAACATGCAAATGACATCACAATCACTATAAGTGTACATAAATTAATTTTAAATGAAGTACTTAACTTTTTATAAATTAATCATTTCTTTGTTTCGTTGCGATCAAAAGGTACGAAAGGTGCGAAAATAGGTGTGAACACCACCAGTGCATTATTGACGTAAACCTATTTCTAAAAACATTTTGAAAGGTCAGGAAACCCCCTAACAGATCAAAATGTTTGGTATTCTTGTTAACGATCACAAGATCCTGTGTCGTGAGACACTAACTGCCTGGTTACTAGTAACCTTAAAGAAATATTTGTAGTAGTAACAAGGAATCTTAAAAAAATATATAAAATATTAAAAGTAGCAAGTAAAATGTAAATATCATACTGAGATCTGTTGCGAATATTAGTTCGGTGAATCTTTACGCATTAGGTTAAACTAATACGCCTCTGCGTTACTTTTATATAATGGATTTTCTACATTATTAATAATTACAGAGGTGATTTCTATAATTAAAGCCTAGCCTGGATTTAGTACTTTTATACAGCAGTTGACATCACCTGATTTATTCGGGAAAAGAGGAAGATCAATGCTAACAATGGCATTCTGCCGTGCCAATCCATAAGACTGTAACTCGACTTACAGTGTTTTGCTTTAACAACGCTAAATCAGTTTCTTTACGTCGGTTTAATACCCCTGATGAATACTTTTGTTATTCTAAACTGTATTTCAGAAGAAACAATAGTCTAAACAATACTGTATTGTATTGAAATTAAGTATTTTGACTTGTCAAAAAACTGTAACAGAACTCACAGTGTTTTGCCTAAACAAGCTCCGCGCGTTGCTTAGGTACAGCGATAAAGATAGTGTTTTGGAAGGATCCGTACACTCGCACGTTGTTGCCGTTCAACCAGTTTACTTGACTGGACGATGAAACGAGAATAATTCCATAATCTTAGTGAACATGGGGTTATGGCTGGCCTGTAGTGGGACATATCAGCGCGGTCACCTATTTTAGGGATCGGGTGCACAAACGCTACCTTCCAGGCGTTTGGGACGACGCCTAGTAGGAGTCGAAAAATGCGCGTTAAAACTGGTTCCAACTCTGGAGCACACGTCTTCACACGATAGGGGCGATTCCATGGGGTCCACTCGACTCTTGAATATCGAGGGAAAATATTGCTTTACGCACTGATTTCTGTGGGTGAGCCGGATATCCGGCGTACAGCTCTGGTACCGCGATACTTTTCCCCCATCATCTTTCCCTAATAAATTATCGCCCATCGCCTTGGCAAGAGAGAAGAATGCACGATTTTGCCCTGGCAAAGGCTCTTTTGAGGGACCTGGAGGCAAAGTTATTTTTGCTTTTTTAGAGTACTCGTATTTACATAACGTACCGTCGCATTTATTCAATAACATTCTTGCTTTCAGCGGGACGCCGTGTTGCAGGATTTGTCGAACCAACGCTTGGATCTGCCACCGATGGGAATTAAGTTATATGGAACGAATAGTTTTATGCCATGAAGCACTACGTCAGTGACAGAATCGGCAACGACGTTGGGATCATTCAGCAAGAAACAAAACAGCTACCATGGGTAAAACGCAAAGAAAGAGCGGCCTCCGATCCCATACGCTGACCATACGCCTCGGCAGCCTGCAATTTGCAGCCGCGGTGAGCACATGCGTGGCACCGCACTCCGTATTAGGCAATGACCCGAGGAGCCAAGTAGGGCCCCAACGGTGACCTTGAAACCGTCTGGACCAGAGGTCAGCAGGAGGTCGTAGACGTTGATACCAGTTGTTAGAAGCAATAGGTCAGGACGAAATCGTGAACAGATCTCCCCGCGCGATTTTCGTAAATCAAGTCATTCGACGCTGTGAGCGTTAACGTCGCCAAGTATCACGATCTTGGCAGATGGGATCTGCTGCAGGACAGGATCTGTAGCTATTTGGACGTGGTCCATCCATCGCTGAGTTTCAGTATCACCACTATTGGACCAGTAGAGGCATGCATAGACACGGGTATGTTCGTAGCTGTCTACACGGAGCGACAAGATGGAGAGGTCCCGTCCTCTAAGATTGCCTAGGCAGCGGCAACTGATATCATCTCTAACGTACAGTCACACTCCAGGCCTAGCAAAAAGGAGTGTTCCAGATGATAGCCAGGGTATCAGAGGTAGGATGTGTCCGATGGAGATGACTGCGTTTAGGTTAAAAAGAGTAAGGCTAGCTTCGCTGTCTCGGTGGTGGTGGACAGCGTTGAGGTACACCCCTGATGTTGCAGAAGTCCACGT